AACCCAAAACCGAACCTATCGATGTTCTGAGCCTAAACCCTAAACCCTTCTTCGGTGGTAATGGTCTGAAGGAAAGCAGAGGATCTCGAATAAAACGGTGTGCCATTCGGCCTTTGAGCAAAACCTTGGTCTAAAGTCTTAAGCCTGAGCTCGGATTACAAAACCCGAGCGAAACACCAAGCTTCCAGAAGCTTAACCTAAGACTGAAAGCCCGAGACCCTGCCTAACCCAAAACCGAACCTATCGATGTTATGAGCCCCATCTTTTGTGTAACAAAAAACTTTTGCGACCTTTAAAACCCCTGCCCGTACAAAACCTGAATCCCTAAGGCCCAGAACCTCAAAACCAATTAAGAGCACAGAAGACCCACCTTCAAAGTCGAACTCCATGGGGCCCTCGAGGTTTCCATCCTCTGGCGCATCCTCCTCGTAGGGTCGGTGTCAACCCACGGATACATAATAAGCCCCGCAAACCAACCCAGGTGAACCCGTGTACTCCTCGGTGTCGAGCATCTTCTGGATCGCGGTGCGCTTTGTGGTCCTGGGCGGCAGAGAGGTGTGGTTGTTTTGGTGTTGTTTGTTGGAACGATCGTACAAAGCTTCAATCTAGCTTCGAGCAAGTGGCTTCTTCTTGCCCTTGACAGACAAGGTTGTCCAATACATGATCTTGTTATCGTAGAGCCTCTTCCTGGCACAGGAGCATGCGCAATGCCTCATTTAAAGGCTCCCACTGAAACTTCATGTCGCTGCTAGCAAGTACCTTATAGTTCAACTGTCCTGGTGAAGCCTGGGATCTTGGAGCAGTGTTCTTTAACTCCGGCAATCCGTTCCCTTGGGTGGTCAGGATAGCGCACTTAAGGTGGCTAGGAACGCAGATAAAAATATATTATAGGAATTGGTGGCCAGGTCGCTCTGACCAACCCAGTTCTCGCATACAATCTTCGGTCAAGAACTCGTAGTCCTCCTCCATTTCGATCTCGTCGATCTTCTCGTACAACTTGCGCACTTTCACCGTGAACTTACCTTGGAGGCTAAAGTTGGCTAGGTATCCTACAGGCAGACCTTAACTGGACTGGAGGCTTTGACGTGTCACTAAAATCATTTAAGCGAGTCTCGCACATCCCAAGCACACCTCTCGAAAAGATGTACGACTGCGGGGCGCTTCTCCTTGTCGAGCCAATCATTTCGGATAGCTTGAGGAATCAAGAAGCTGCCGTCTTCCCTTGCTTTGGCAAGCCTATAAAGCCTCTTGTAAATGGCCCCCTCTGTTGGCTGATCGGGCAAGGGAGGGGGCGCAGGCTCTGCAACATACAACTCCAGCTCCGCGCTCTGCTCTGGAGCTGCTGGGCCGCCGTTTGGGTTTGCCTTAGGAGCGGTTGGACCTGGACTCGCGGGTTTCGGGGTTGCTGCCTTTGGAACTGGAATTGCGGGTCTCGGGGTTGCTGTGATTGGAACTGGACTCGCGGGTTTCGAGGTTGCTGCCTTTGGAACCGGACTCGTGCGTGTCGGGGTTGCTGCCTTCGGAGTTTGGCTCGGGGCCTCTAAGGCTCTGGCTGCTGCTGTTGTTGCCTTCGGAGCTGGGCTTGCGTGTATCGGGGTTGCGGCTTGGCCCTTTCCCTTGCCTGAACCGGTCACGGCGGGGGCAGGGGATGGGAGGGTCGCAGGCATTCCCGCAGCTCGCCGGGCCGCATTGAACTCCTTCCACTCAGTGGTCGATTGCGGAAACCTCTGAGCATCCTCAGGGCAGGTCCACATAGCATCCTAAAAGACAAGTACTAGAGTCTTCACCATTCTACCCTAAGCATAAGACTTTGCATAAAGACACATAAAGGCCATAGCGGCTGTAGTGCTACGGATGCATGAGGACGGGGCTTTAGGCTACGGTTTCGGGCTCCTGGCCAGGCTGTTGCGGGGATTCGCAGGAGGGCGGCGGCGTCAAAAGATGCCGGGATGGGGTTCGGCACATAGGTGTGCTTGGCGTACCATGGACATGCCTCGCATCCCCTGACACCTGCGTCATCTGGGATTGGTAAGTGTGCTCAGGAAGCGTGTCGTCGATGCCAAAGCCGTGGGACTGGGATGCAAGTTGAGGCGTCGGTTGGGCCTCCCGCTCCTGTTCAGGGCTTGGTGAAGCTTCGGGTTTCGAGCTTTGGGGCTGGGGGCACTCGAGTTGACTAAGCTGTCTTGGGATCAAAGACCGCACCTGTAGCTCGTTCAGCTCGGCTTGCATAGCCGCCAATTCGGGATCGACCACACTGTGAACATGTGCCAAATCCATGCTGTTTTGCTTCTCAAGAAGCTGCAGGCCCCTCAACAAAGTGCTGGAGGACCAAGTACGTGAAGCTACAGCGTGAGCCATTAATGTAAGGCTACCAGGCAAAAACCCAATCCGCGTAGATCCGCCTACTTCCCGGGCAGTTCCGCCCACTTCCCGGGTAGTTCCGCCCACAATTCGACTAAACCAAAACCCGGAAAACCTTATCAGACTGACCCCCAAACCAAAACGCCTTGCTACAGCGGCCCCAAATCTAGGAACGTAAGCAACCTGCACCCCTACAGCGGCTCCAAATCTAGGAACGTAAGCAACCTGCACCCCTACAGCAGCCCCCAACCGGACCTCAGCAGATAAAACCCGGATCTACCGATACAAAATAGAAAACCCCCTGCCAAACCCAATCAGAATCCCAAGCCCTGGCCAGCTCGAAGTCCCCTACCGAACCATATCCAATCATCAACAAAGACACCACAGAACACTAGAAGAGGAAAGGAAACCTGTGAGGCCGCCCGAAATGCGTGTTAGTTTATCGAGCAAAAGCAAACCAATCCCACCCGGACAACACAGTCCTTATTATCCCGCTCAAACACCTGAGCCCCACAATCCTTCTAATTCCCCACTCAAATACCCACCTACCTGCCTACCTGTTTATCTGCCTACCTGCCTGCCTGCCTGCCTGCCTACCTACCTACCTACCCACCTACGTACCTACCGACCTACCGACCTACCGACCTACCGACCTACCTACCTACCTACCTACCTACCTACCTACCTACCTACCTTCCTACCCACCGACCTACCTACCTACCTACCTACCTACCTACCTACCTACCTACTTACCTACCTACCTCGGCTGTTCAATCAAAATTAATGCCGCAACTACAATGTGTTTGTTGAAGCAAAAAATACACACCTACCTAGGTCCCAGAAACCAAAACCTAACTTAAATATATCGACCCAATCCTGCTATGCTACACAACTAAAACCCAAAAGCAGCGTCTTTGGACTGTAGACTCGAGTCCTGAAGCTTTCGGTCGAAGGCATAACGAATTGTAGCCTCTGTGGCCCTGGTCTTAATTACTGGCGCAAGCTCGCCACGACCCATCAAAGAGAGTCTGGGATAATTGAACGGTACTCTTCAGGAATCCGGAGGAGGCGGCTGTTACGAAGGTACCAAAAGACATCACTCAAATTAGCATCCTCCCAGGAATCATCTTGCACCATACTAGCTATAATGCCACGAAGCTCACCCGATGCCACTGGAACCTGAAAAACCAAAGCGGCTAGGCTGGGCTCAAGGGCGGGTTTTGGTTCAGGCAAGCCAGACGTATGAACCCCTCACCAAGGTACTGTGCAGGGCCTCCTGGTCGCCTTGAGCAGAGGGCGGAGCTTCAGGATGTGCGCGGCGAATCTCGGCGTATACTGCCTTGAATCCAGGCAGAACATACTAGTTACTAGTTTTGCAGTTTACAGATTTCAGCACTGTCGTTGTACCAGGGAGCTGGGTTTCCGTGAGATTAGCATTCCCGTGGAATTTCTCATGACCACGAGCATCCCTGTGTCTCTTCGTCGTCTTGACCGTAGACTTGAAGTCTGATTTGCGAAGGCAACCCAAATCCAGGTGAGCAACAGCAGAACTCCCTGACCAAAGTAGAGTCCTTTTCGGCGTCGGAGCTTTGAAGTTGCCCATCCACATAGCAACCCGGTACATGCCCTGGCACAAGAACAATCCTCACCAAATAAACTGAAGAACCAAAACTCTAACTACGGCAGCAAGCACGTGTTTCTAGTTAAGCCTAGGAACCTTCATTCCAGCCTTCTCCATAGCAGCCAAAAGCCATTGAAAACGATCATGTAAGAAGATAAGAGAAGACCTCGGGTTTTCAATTATGAAGCAGCCGGAGGCACAGATTGTCATCGCGATCAAAAGGACAGACCTGGGATGGAAAGGATTGGATTGGGGTGGACCCAACCCTGTCAAATTCGTTCATTCGAAAGGTGTTTGTATTCCAAGCACTCCAAGCCGAGCTACCTTGAAACCATGCCATTAGCAGCACGGACTGATGGGACCAGAGGAGAACCCATGGGGGTTAGGAAACTCCTCTGGGAGGTTCCAGCGTTGAGCTTCACCCAGCTGGAGCAACAAATGCCCCAAAGAGTCAATAAGTCCTCGAATTTCGATCGCAGCAACCCAACAATCGCCAGCCTAAGTTGCAACAGACTATAGTGCAATGAAATAACAATAATAGCATACTCCATCTACAAGTATAAAGACAAGAAGCACAAAGCCAGCAGAACCATTGAGATCCATAGCACTTCTGGCGTTGGGGAACCGGGCTGTTTTTTGCTTCTTTTGTTTGGGTGGTGGCACGGTGTTGTCATACATGATGTCCATGGCTAGCGGAGTGTAGCCCATACTCTTTGCCATTCTGGTGATACGAGCCGTGCCACTAAAGAACTCAATGACGTCGTAGTGACCCTCCAGCTCAACCCCATCCAGAAAGCTTGTCATCAAGACAATGAGGATGAAGACCTGCATCGCAAGAAATGAGGCTTAGCATGGAAAATTAAAAGGTTTAGCTGCGTGTGTTGCAGCAGAATGGCCTTCGGGAGACCAAAACCGATCATTCGTCTAAGTGTCAGGTCCAGCTCTTCGGATTTCATTGCGAGGACTTCTAGAATGATCACACACCAGTAGCTGCTCCAAGAAAATCTGAGCCCAATCCCCGCAGATAGGCAGGTCCCGGCTGTCAGAGTGCACATAAGTGTACATGCGGTTACATGCGTATGTGCCTGGGCATGGTACGGTCACATCCGACACACCCATGACAAGCATTGCACTTCGTAACCCGGCAGCATGACCTGTCGTCGTGGCAGACACCTGTGGCCCGAATCGGGCAAAAACGCTCTGGCCTCGCCGAAGGCTCATAGCGACAATCAGCGATAGTACCTGGAGATGCCGGGGATGGGAATTAAACTAGCTTCCTGGTTCACGACAAATCACGACTAGATAGGCTAGACTCAATCACTTGAAGCTCTTTTTTCCCTCGAACGATCTCGCTCAGAAAAACCCCAGTCGTCGTAAAGTAAATTGTCCCAGCCCAGCGAAAGAGTTTCGGGTTTCGGCAAGGTCCCAAAGTCTAAGTGCAGAACTTAAGGGAAAACCGGCATTGTATTTATATTATATATAAAACACCCTCGCAGAACCCGACCATCTTTGCACCAGGATCTCCGAAGCACGATTGGCTTCGACTACCAAGCAGCTTGGAGGCCCCTATGATCTGAATCAGTAGATTAGGAAGCAGTCCGCGCACAATCAAGGAACCAGAAATCAAGCTTGGGGTCGGGGCACACAAGCCAGGGCTTGGTGTAATGTAAAATCTCAGGCAGCCTTTCAAGCTTCTGCAGCAGAAACCAACTCGGTTCTCAACTCTGCCTCCTGAAGATACTCTGCCACGATCTCCAGGGCCCTGCAAGCAAAGAAATCAGCATTAGCCTGGGAGAAGTCAGTCTCCGCATGCCACTTCGTGAAGAAGGACCAGAAGTGGTCCTGATACGGCCAGGAATTCAGGGTCTAGATTTAAGGAACTAGGGTGTAGGGTAGGGTGGCCAGGGATTAAGGATTTAGATTCAAAGGATTAGGGGCTTTAGTGCTACCAATTTCCATTAGACAGCTAAATTAAGCTCCTCGAACTTCGACGGCCGCCGAAGTCTCGGGCCAACGTGGGATTCATACGTCTTGCGGAGACCGCACCACTTGGCAATGCTATACTCTTTTTTGGGATAGAGTCGGCGGGCAAAGGTTTGCTTCTCTTTGGGCTCGTCATCAGCTGTGGCTGGTTTGTCCTTAGCTGCGGCCTTCTGATCCCTACTGTTGCTGGGCTTTTCCTCAGCTGTGGCCTTCCTTGCGCGCTTTCCCCGAGCATCGGGCTTCAATTCTGAAATCTCCTGGTGTTTGCCTTTCTTTGATGCTTGAGGAGTGGCCACCGGCTCTTCGATGGGCTGCTTCTTCGGGAGTCTGTTGGTCGGCTGGCTTTGGCTTGCGTCGGCTTTCTTGGGCTTCTTCTTCTGTTGTGTCGGGGAAGGTTCCTGCTCCTCTTGTGCCGGGATCTCCACCTTCTTTGCCGGGCTGCCTTCAGCCGGCACCCGTGCTGCTGGCCGCTTCGAAACACCACGTCCCCGGCCACGACCACGGCCACGGCCGTTCGGGGCTTCCACCTTCTCGGCTTCACAAGTCTTGCCTCGACCCCGGCCTCCACGACCCCGGCCGCCCCGGCCCCGGCCTTTGTTTTTCTGCTTCGGCTTCTCGTGGCAAGCTCGCTGCTCCTTGCGTGTCAAGCCGACCTGGCACAATGGTCTCTAAGTCCGGAAGCAAGCAAGCAGGCTCTGAAAGCACAATAATTTATCAACACACAATCTCGCAATCAGAATTGGCCTCGGCGTCAAAGACATCACCCTCCGGGGTTTTGCTCGTGTTCGGTGCGCTCGTGCTGGGCTCGGCTGTCTCAGCTCCTGTCTTTGGTTTTTCCGGGGTCTTGCTAGCCTCAACTTGGGCTGGCAACTTGCTCTTCTGCGCAGCTGCAACAGCCAAAGGATCCTGGCGATTGGCTGGGGCAGGCAAAAGTGACTGCTGGGGTGTTGCAGGCGGCCTCAGCTCAGGCTGTGCCGCCTGGGGCACAGGGGGCTCAGCCAGCACGACCTGTGTTTCCATCTCGCTGATGTCCACAGGCATCGGCTTACCTGTCCCAAGCATTTGCTTTTTTACAGAAGGTTCGAGCAAATAGATAATAAGCAATGAGCCTTCGGCTTTTGCCGTGGCAGAAGCAGTCTGCATCTTCTCAGCAATCTTCTGCCTAGAGTAGAAGAAACCAAAGGAAAGTTGATGGCTAGGCTCTATTTAGGATTCAGGGTTTTCAGACAAAGAGGGATCGATTTTGTTTTGGATTCAGGGCTTTTAGTCTTAGAGTTTTCTTCTGTCTATACAGACGTTTCAACCACATATGAAAACACTCCTGGCGGATATCAAACAAGGTACTTTAGGACGGCAATTCGAGCTTGCCGCTCACGACGTTCTGCTGACATACCATCTTGCACATGGAACTGAGGCAGCTTCACAAGCCTGGAGCTCGCCGCTGACGGCTGTTCTACTGCCGCCTCTGCTGCCGCTAGAGGTGGAGGCTTGGGGGAAGCGGGTCCTTGGCAAGCACCAAGCCGAATGGCCAATTCGTAATCATCCAATGCTTCATTATCATTGTCTTCATACGGATCTTGACTGTCATCTCCGACATCTCCGACTACCAAATCCACACAAGGATCATCATCATCTTCCTGCTCTTCCTCACCTCCTTCATCCTCGCCCCATGCTTCCTCATGATCATCGTCAGCAACTGGCTCGACGACTTGGTCCGGGTTTGGCCAGTAGCCGCGGAAGAAAGAGAACAAACGGTCCAATTCGGAATCCTTAAGGCCGATGCATACACAAAAAAACTTTGGGCAAGTTCACTAATGCATCTCAATTAATTAAGACCTTTGTCTGAGCCTCAACCCTGATGCGAGCATCGAAAGTATTCTTAATGCAGCGAGATGTCGCGCCTTCGAGCCGAAGTATAAAGTCGCCGATTAATCAGCGACATGAAACCCTTCACCGCATGAGCTTCGCAGTGCACATTGCTTGGGTCAGCTTGCATCTTTAAGCTGCTCCGGAGCTTTCTGACCTGTAGGGATTGGTGTCGAATCGGGATGTTGTGGCTACTGAAGTGGCGGTATGTTTGAGGTTCGTTTCATTTTGCTTGAGAGGCTAGGTTTCTGATTTTTTTGTAGCCTTATTATGGAATCTCAACCTGATCCCAATCCCGCAAAATCTCACAGGCCTCCTCCTTGACGGGGGCGACCACAAGACCCAGTTGGCTGCTAGCTTGTGGACACACAATACAACCCACAGCAATCATATGAGGTCCACATTCAGGCGAAGTGATGCTGTCCCAATAACACCAGTACGTTTGGGGCATGGCCACCTCAAGAGTGTACCGGTCTCTAGGATTCGCTGCCGGCAATCACTGTCATCGCCTAGCCGCTTGGCCAGGCCATCCAAATGATCGGGCTTGGGCAGGGTTTTCGTGCGCGGCATTTTCAGCAGCAGTCTTCAGCACCTACTCTGGAGCCCTCGAGCCTACGGATCTCACATCACTTGAACTCCATGCATGGATGCACAGCAGACGGCGCACTCGCAGGCACAAGCCAACGGCGGACCTGCGCCAGCGGCAGCAGCGGCTGAAGTTGTGAATCATTACAGCACAACACATATTCCCTCTATTTCGGCCGAGCATAGCAAAAATCATTTTCCATCCCCCTGTCATGTAACTCTTGTAGAGCTTCTAAGGCTTTTGGAAAGCTTTGCAAGCTGCCCGGTGTTTCATCTCCTTGACGGTTTCACTGGCACAGCACTGCAGACACGAGGCCGTGGCCCAAAAAGCAATAATCACGAGCGCTTCTCAGGATCCGATTCCTCGACCAGACTGCCTGCATCGCCTCGGTATTGAATCCAGACTACTACAAGAGAGCTATGACAATCTCCAACCCAGCCTAATGCAACCAAAACACGCCACTTCTTGTGAACTTTCCACAAGAGCCAAGATGAGCCCTTCATCTGGAAGTTGTCCAACACGGCATTCATTTGCTCATCGGTTAACATGACCTAGGCTGACAGCAGCTACATGTGCGTATCATTACATTACAGTATTTGCAGACGAATAGCTTCAGGATCATCAGAAGGGAACAGAACATGGCGGGCTTCGAACCAGAATTGGTCTGGCATTCCAAACAGACCTGGGAAAGCAGCTACCACGGCTTGCAGAAATAGACATACACGCAGTCACAGAAACAAACAAACACACCCATGCTAACACTTCGCTTCTGAGCAGGCAAGCGGCCTGCTCGCTGAACTCGGGCAATCACAGCTTCCGTGACTGCCATGCCAACCACGTCTAAGTAGTAGCTAGCAGTGCCTTCTAAATATTCGAGCCAGGTCTTCTCATGGGACGAGCTGCCTTTCCATGCACATCGAAACGACACAGCCCAGCAAATCACTAGCGATGCAAAGCACGGGAGGTTGCACCTTGACATGGCTGGGCAAACATGGCAAACTCTTGTTTGTGCCCTACACATCATGAGCCAGGATATCGGCAGTGATGGAAGCTTGGTTCAACCCACTTCACAGCAGTTCCACCCACTCATCATCATCAAAAGCTATATCCGCCCACAACGGCCGTCTCCGCCCACAACTCCTAAAAGTTGGTTTTCTCCAAGAAGGCAGGAATTAAGCAGGCTTTTGAATATACAGGTATGCTAATATGCGAAAATAATAAATATCCTAATATGCTAATATACATATATTGATACTAAGACTAAGAATAAGACCAGTAC